TACATTTTATTCTAGGGAAGTATAGACAGTCAAATGAGCCAAGTGCTTTGTGTGCCCTTCATAATTTTTCAGCGATTGATAAAACAAAATGTTTTTCTCTTGTTCCTGAGCATGTTGAAACAAGATCATTGTATAATCCAGAAAAACCAGGAGAAACACAGGTAAATTTTTTTATTTTTTTTTTTATTTTTGGTGCCCTATAAAATCCTTAAGGACTTATCACAGAGCACCGTGGAAGAGCATTTGAAAGGAAGTTCACACCTCTTTTCTTACCGATGTTATAAAACTTGTCCAGAGGTGGCATTAAACCACAGATCTCATGCTTCTGAGCCAAGCTCAAAATTTCCTTAACAACTTGAACATTTTTTTCAAGATTTACCTTTAAAAATTTTGAAGATTTTAAATTAAAAGTTAAGATTTTGAAAAATAAAATAATTTTTTATTATGATTTTTGGAGAAAAAGAACTGTGTTATCAATGCACTGAAAATAAATATTTGTAAAATGCAATAAGATCAGTATTTGATTATATTTTCCTTTAAACAAAAATATATATATGGTTTTTTTTTTTTTTTTTTTAGATAAACTGTTTAGAATACATACCTTTTCTCTTATATACATATGTTTGTATATGCATATATATATATATATATATATATATATATATATATATATATATATATATATATATATATATACATATATATATATATATATATATATATATATATATATATATATATATATATATATATATATATATATATATATATATATATATATATATATATATATATATATATATATATATATATATATATATATATATATATATATGTATATATATATATGTATATATATACATATATATAAATAAATATATACATATTATATATATATATATATATATATATATATATATATATATATGTAAATATACATATATATATATATCTACTATAGCATATTTATATGCGCAATTGCTCACTTTTTTAGCTAGCCTAAATTAAATAAGCATTTTGAGAAACAATGAGGGAAAACAAAGAATAATGAATGAAAAGGTTGCTGACCCATACCAAACCCTCAGTCGATGTAGCAGCACTCCAATGCGAGTCAGGCTATTTGTCAGTCGATGTATGTACTGAAGCCCCCGGCAGCAGGCTATTTGACATTAGGTGAGTATGACATCATCATGCTAACCTAACTCAGCAGTATAAGATATATACGTATATATATATATATATATATATATATATATATATATATATATATATATATATATATATATATATATATAATATATATATATATATATATATATATATGTATATATATATATATATATATATATATATATATATATATATATATATATATATATATATATATATATATATATATATATATATATATATATATATATATATATATATATATATATATATATATATATATATATATATATATATATATATATATATATATATATATATATATATATATATATATATATATATATATAGGAAGCATTGGTTAAAAGTATAATGCTTTTATGCAAATGAATTTAATATGACAATAAATTTTTATCACTTTTACGTTTGAAAAGCTGGAAAAATGGTTTTATTATTTTATTATTATTACGTTGGCAACCATACACATGGTTGTCAAATCTGTCAGTTGAATAGCCGCTTCTACATCTTGATATATGACCATTTGTGCAATTTCTCAAATTATTTGTTTTTCCAGTGTATGCTGATTGACCAATACACATTTTAAATAATAAATGACATTCTTGCTGTTACAAGTTTTATGCTGTTACAGGTGACTTTTAATGTTCCAGATAGTACCATTGGGTGTTACCAATTTTTTTACCTCTTGCAGGTAAAATAGACAAATTTTGCAACGACTATCATTACATTTAAAAATTCCTATATTTTTATTGTTAGATAGTATAGAATTAAATTTAGCAGAAATAATTTGTCTCGGTAAATTTGGTGGTTGTTTGTAAGCTATTAAAGGATTGATATTAGAAACAATTTGTTGTATTCTTTCACTAGAGGATAGGCTGAATAGAGGATTAGTTTTAGTTAGTATAGGCTGGCAGTTTATATTACTGTAAAATTTAGTGTTCTTTAGCTTTTTTTTGTTGAGACGGCCTTGCAGTTTTGCATTATGAAATGCTTTTTCAATAACAAAATCTAAGTAATTGCATTCTTTCAACAATAGTTTAAGCTCTGCTAAATGCAGTTTTTCTGTGGTATAATCAGATGTAAATACAGTTATTCTTTTTGCAAGATTATAGTCAATGTTCTTTTTGGTGTGGTAGGGATGATGACTGTTACAATTTAGATAATCATGAGTGTTAGTTATATCCATTTTGATGTATTAGTTATTTTGAAGAATAACAGAAATGTCTAAAAAATTAATTATGTTATAAATATTTTCTTTTTCAATTAGTTCAATGCGATAGTCAATTGGAAAGATAATTGACTTTTTTAATTCACCAAGTGACAATTTAAATTTGTCTATATCTAGATGTTTAGGCCATATGTTAAAACCATTATCAACATATCTAAATTAGAACTGTTCAATACTTTGAACTTTGTCATTTGAAAAAAATCTAGGTAAAATTTTTGGAAAAAGTAAAGTTTCTTTTAAAATACATATCGAAAGACATGCATAGTCTGGTGCAAAGTCTGTGCCCATGGCTGTGCCTGTAATTTGGTGAAATAAGGTTATTGAAAAGAAAATTATTGTCTTTTGAAATAAAGGATGCTGGTTCTATAATGAAATTGGTAGTAATTTGTTCAGGTATTAGGTTTTTATGTTTTTCAACCCAGAATTTTAATGCTTCTAATCCAAGGTTGTGGGGAATTGTGGTGTCAAGGTTAACAATGTCACACATTAGTATAATGCTATCTAAATCCACTTTTAGAATTTTTTTTAAAAATCCCAATCACCTTTTATATAAGTTTGTTGTTTCTGTAGAATAAGATATATATATATATATATATATATATATATATATATATATATATATATATATATATATATATTTTTTTTTTTTTTTTTTTTAAAGGGAAAAGTGATGTTGTGGGTTGATTTATTTAGTATGGATGGTCCATCACCAGGGCCAGCTATTGACATAGCTCCAAGAGTACCTATTGCGTAAGTGTTTTATCTGTTTGTGTTTTTTGACTGAATCAGTCAAAATTTCTGAATAAATAAATTTTTTTAGTTTTTTACTAGCTTAATTATTTAATTACACCAATTAAATAAAAAAAAAATCTTAATAATACAATTAAATTTGTAAATAATTACCTAAAAACTTTAAAAAAAAATTACCAAAAAAATTTTCAAAAAAAATGTATATTGTAAAAACATTCTGTTTTTACACTATACATTTTTTTTTTGTTAATGTGTTTATGTATTGTGATTGAGATGGACTAAGTTCAATCTCGACTACATCCTAGGTAGTGCTTAACATTTCTCATCACAGCGACTTTGTAAAGGCTTGTGTTTTGGAGAGTTCACAAGTTAGGCATAAGATACAAAAAAGGTATCACTTAAGGTAAGGTAAAAGGTACCAAGTTGTAGAAACAACTTTGGAATATAATAACCAGAAAGCTATCTTGTTACTATTCAAAAGTGACTTTTAAATATTGATCAATAATCAATTTATAGATAAGAGCTTTAAAATATTTTTAATTATACTAGAAACTTAGAATAGTAGAATTAATTGCAATTTTCTTTAAATTTATTCTGTTCTACAATATATTTATAACCAGTGCTGTAGCTATAATAAGCTTGTTTAAATCAACTTATCAACTATATCAACCAATGAATTAGTTATGAGCTTATCATCTTATGAGCTTTAAAAATATTTGTTTTGATGTTTCTTAAAAAGGGTTTGTTTTTTTTTTATTATGAATTGGTCTTTAATAAAATTGAGTTTGGCTTACAGAATATTGAAATATGCCTTAAAAAATTAATTTTTAATAGTAGTACATTTTTTGATAATAGCATAAACTTCTCTATCATCTAAGTGTCGAATTGTAAAAGTAGTAATGGTCAGTGTGATGTATTTTGTTTATTAACAATTTTAGTAATAATTACTTTTAGTAATGTTTATTGATATTATTGACTATTTTAATAAATATAAAAAGAATTAGTACTATTTTATTTAAAGATAATACTGTTTTATTTAAAAATAATACTGTTTTATATTGTTTTATTTAAAAATAATACTGTTTAATACTGTTTTATTTAAAAATAATACTGTTTAATACTGTTTTATTTAAAAATAATAATGTTTAATACTGTTTTGTTTAAAAACAATCAAGGTAAGCTTATTATATGAATAATTTAAAAAAACGTGTGAAGATAAGATTTATAGGTTTTTTATACGTAAACATGTATTTCTTAAGATGTATAGCAAAAACTAATGAATATGCTTCGTTTGCCTAACCTTTGTCATCCATTGATATACCATCTGTGTGAGTCCTACACATTTTTTTTATATACTGTTGGCCTCTAGTACTTTACAGTCTATTGGTATATTTTCTTTTAGTTTTTTGAAATCAGATATTGTTATTGTAGATACTACTAATGAAAAAAGTGAAACCTTTAAAGTCATTAATTTCTGAGTTATTAGAAACCAAGACAAAATAAATAATTTTGTTGATTTTGATTGTTATAAAGGAGTAAATGATATTTGGTGTAAACATTGACATGATGACATTTATCAGTATAAGTAGTTTTAATTTAAGATTTGTCAAACATGAAAACAGATTATTTTATTGTTAACGGTGTTAAGCTAAATACTTCACAGATAACTGTCATCAACCACCACTCCACAGTGGTGGTTGATGACAGTTGAGATGCTCAAACCCAATCCTCACATGGAATTATTAAATCAAAATTCTGTCACACATAAGCAGAAACTTGGCATAAGTGGAGACTGGGCTTAGTTAGTTCTAAGATATCAAAGTTGAAAAGACTTTGTACTTGCACTTTGTAACTTTTGTACCAGTTTTAGACTGGCAGCATACCTTTTCACTTAATTTTGCAATCCTAACTGTTGCAATGTTGCAATCCTAACTGTTGCAATATAGCTGTGTTGATGTAGCTGTAGTGATGTAATTGTGTCAATTATTTCAGATAAAAATAATCTTCAGAATTTATTTTGAATGCATCATTTTAAAGTAGTCTTTTATGTCTGGTCGAATAACAATTTTTTAAATTTAAGGTTTAGTGCAACATGACTTAGTCTAGAGAATTAATGGTATTTATTTGGCAATAACAAGCAACTGATTCTTGAAAGTGGGCAGGTTCTGTTTTGCCAAAAATATCACTTAAAATTTAATTAAAGAAATTGAAACATAAATGTAAATATTGCAATGAAAGCAGACCGGTTTTGTTTACACATACTCAAAACAATGCAAAGATGTTGAAAGAAAGCAAATAGGATGATTAAAACTGATCATTAGGTTTGTTTCATTTTAATTATTTTTAAGAACATAAAAAAAACATTTTGTAAGAATAGTAATCGAAACTTATAAAACTTGGACAAGTGTTTTAGTTAAAGTTGCTAAGCAACTTTGTAAGTGTAAGCACCTGTTAACACTTTAAAATTGTAGGAAATTTCTAATAACTCACAATGCTAGCACAGTTTCAATAAAATTTTTAAATTGACCAACTTTCTTTTTTTCTTTTTTTCATGATTTGCTCTGAAATTTGCTGAAAGTTCTGTATCTCTGCCATTTATTAAAATATCAAGACTGTTTTTTTTTTTTTAATTTCGTTGGAAAAGTTTTATATACAAATAGCGCAGTTATACTTGCTTATTAAATTGATTTGGTAGTTGACTTGCTCATTAAATTGATTTGGTAGTTGACTTTTTCTATTGACTCCATAAACATTAGTATGAGAGAAAGAGCAAATGCACAGTGTTTTAAGATGGATGTAACTTGTTGACTCCATAAACTTTTTTTTTATTAGTTTTGCCTTTCAATAACATCATCATAAGATGTGTCTTTAGGAGTTAAATTAAAGGTGGTATCATTGATTCTTGTTTTTAAAAATGGTGTGCCCTTTTTTATTTTCTTTGACTAAAATGTTTTGGAAATTTATACTCAGTAGATCTCAAAATTTTATACTCAGCAGTTTGGAAATTTATACTCTTTCAAATTGTTCCAAGCAGTCAAATAACTCTTCTTGAGTTATTTCACTTTTGATTGGTTGTTGCAGATCTTTTATAGAGTCTTTTACATTTTGTTGCGAATTCATATCTATATAATATTTTTAGGTTCTTCTTAACTTTATCTTTAATCACTTTCGTTTTGCTATGGAGATTTCAAGTGAAACTTTTTTTGATAATTGTTTGTATTGGCTATAAAGATTTGAAATTTTCCATTTACTCAAACAATTTCTATTTTAAATTCTGTTTATTCTTTAATGAGTGAGATAAGACTTTATTTAGTCACAAATAGATAAGATAAAATAAAAAATAAGATTTTATTTAGCCACAAATTCTTTGATAATAAATTTGCACATGATATATTTATAGGTATGTATGTATTCTTTTACATGCTATTTCATTATAATGAATTCATTCATCATACATTTCTTTAACTTCTTTGGTATAAAAACACTGAAGTCAGTCAAAACTTGAAATCTTGAATTCTATTATAATCTGTTATAAAATCTATATAAAATGTTCTTTTTATCTGTAGTACATTCATTGTTTTATTTTTAAGAATAAAATCTAAACACATTATGAAATGACCTCTGGATATGTTTCCTAAAAAAAATTTACTGGCAATGGCACTTCCATTTGATGACTGAGTAGTAAATCTAAAATGTTAACAGAAGACTTATTTGTTGTTTGAAATTTTAACAGCTGGTATAAGTAATTGTCACTTTGATAATTCTTTAATTGAGTGTATTGAACTATAAACCAACTAATCTCAAGAAAATTTTTGTTTTCTGATTTCAATGGCAATCAAATAGGTTGCAACCAAGTAAGTTAGACAAACTTGTCAAATAGTTTAGAACATAATTAAAACATTTTGACAATAATAAATTAAATATAATAAAAAATGTAAATACAAAGACTTCAATGGTTGTTTGTTGCATTTTTTTCAATGAATGATTGTCACATTTTTTATTTGAAATTCTTTTTTTATATAAAGTAAACTATTCCTTAATTTTATTTTATTTTTTTACTTAATTACTTAATTTAATTAGTTAATAACCGTTTTTTGCCATAATGTTTATTTTCTACTGCAGGTTTTTGTTTTGTAACAAATGTTATGTTATAAAATCAGTTAAACATATTTCTTTTAAAAATTTCATGAGTTCATTTTAAAATGTTCAAAATTTTTCTCTCTGTAAGAATACAATATCATAAATATAATGCAGCATCATAGATATACAAAAAATTGAACAACCTTTTTTACTAAAGTAGCAGTAAAAATGTAAATAAACAAAAAAAGTTAAATAGAAATTGTTTAAACAATGAAAATTAAAAGAGATGCAACCTTACAATGATGGAACAGAGGTCTAACTTAACTTACAATGATGAAACAGAGGTTTAACTTAACTTACAATGATGGAACAGAGGTCTAACTTACAAAATTTAACTTACAAAAAGATTTTTGAACTTTATCTAAAAGAGAAAGTATATTATTAGAAAAACAGCCCAAATATGATAGCAGTATTTCATACATGGATGGATAAGAGAGGTAGAAAATAGAATCAAGAGAAAAAAAATGGTGAACATGATAGAGACAGCCGTAGCAGATTTGACTTGAATTAGTGCAATCAACTTGGAATGTGGTATCCATGAGAGATCACCAGTAAAAGATAAATCGGAGAAGACATAAGTTTTTGGCTGAGTTAGCACTTGGTTAATGATTTTTAATTTAGATAAACGTTAGTAATGTTTTTGATAAACCATTGTTGTGCAATGAAGAACAAATTTTCAGTTGATGACAACTTTAATGATGACTAATGAAACAGGTTTCACTTATATTTTTAAAAAGTCTGTTTCTGATCTTGTTGTTGTTGTTATTGTTTATAACTGTTTTCTGAAGAATAATCAAGTAGCAAAAGCTATTTCAAACTGCCATGCTGTTTTCAGTTTTCTGAAATGCACATTTAAACATTAAATTCTGGAAACATTTTGTATTGTTTACTACTTTTTTGTTTAATGGGGATCATTTTTAATGAAAAATGTAAATGCTTTTAAAGCTATTCAAAATTAATCCACAAAATTTGTCTTATCTTTTTTTGAGAATGGAACTAAAGGCTTGGAATGGAACCAAAGTTTTTGAGAATGGAACCAAAGACTCTACTTGGCAACATCATAGTAATCTTATTATAACTACAGCACATGTAAGTAAAATGAATAGGGTCACAAAAACATCAAATGCCAAACCATTGGGTTTTTTTTAACTGCAATCGAATACCAGGACTTGTTAAATGTTTTGCAAGCTACACTACCTTCTTATCTCATTAACATTAATAAAAATATACTAGAAGTTGGGATTGTGAACAACTTGTTTTAAAAAGTTTGGCAGATTTTTTTATTTACTCCCAACAAAGAATTTACTCCCAACAAAGACTGTTTTATCACTTAAAATTGCTTTCAGACTTAGACTTGCACAGTAGTTTGGGTTCTATCTTGAATCTATCATAGCAGAGGATTTCCCTGCTATCAGTTGTTATTTTTTCTGTTGTAGAATGTATAGTAATAAAATAATTAATTTTATAAATATTTTTTCTAATAAACAAATCATGTGATTCAGTACATAAAATAAGTTTCTGTTAACCAATCACTGACTTTGTGTAGAAGTATTTTTTTATAATAACTTATCATATGCTGTAAAAAGGAACCATAAGCATGCCATGTAATAATAACTTATCATACGCTGTAATAGTAATAACATAACAGAATAAAATTATTGAATCAAAAATAATTTCTAAAGAAAGAAATTCTCTGAAAATAAACAAAAACAACTTCCTAATGTTGACTCAAGTATAATTTTTAAAACATGAGTAAGTATTTATACAAGTATTTTTGCTTCTCAAATTGTGAATTTTTTTCAAATTTTGAAAATTTAACAGTATAATATCAATCTAAATATTTTATCAATATCAAAATGTAATATAAAACTAAATGTTAAGTACAAGTTTGCATATTTTTATATTTATAATTTTTGAAAATATTTGAAAATCTTTCCATTTTCAATCATTGTTGATTGTACACCAGAGATCAGTCACCATGAGCAAAATATAAATGCTAGTTCTATATGTAGAAGATAAGAACAAAACTCATATTAAAAAATATTTTTGTAGCTTTTGCTTAATTGAAGGTTCAACAGAACTTAAAATAAAAAGCGTGAACTCTCTGGAATTATTCTTGCTCTGCTTGTAAAAAACATAAGAAGTCAAAGTTATGAAAATGGTATGAATATGAAAAGCATAAGAATTAGTGTACAGTGCGAATATAAAAGATGTAAGAAATGGTCTACAGTGCGAATGTAAAAGATGTAAGAAATGGTGTACAGTGCAAGTATAAAAGATGTAAGAAATGGTGTGCAGGTATATATTAGTGTACAGTGGTCTGCAGGCATATATTAGTGTACAGTGCAGTACAAGAAATGGTGTGCAGGCATAATTAGTGTACAGTGCGAATATAAAAGATGTAAGAAATGGTGTACAGTGCAAGTATAAAAGATGTAAGAAATGATGTGCAGGCATATATTCTTAAAAATAAACCTGAGTGTTTTATACCTATTTTCTTTCTCTTGCAAAAGAATCTGTTTTAAGAGGAAGAAAAAAATGTATACTTTGACAAATTTAAGTAAAACAAAGAGAAATCATTATGTGTAAATATAAGCATGAGGTTTTCAATAAAATAATTGAATGTGGTACATTTGCAATAAACATACATACATACATACATACATACATACATACATACATACATACATACATACATACATACATACATACATACATACATACATACATACATACATACATACATACATACATACATACATACATACATACATGCATCCATGCATACATGCATACATGCATACATGCATACACGCATACATACATACATACATGCATACATTCATACATACATACATACATACATACATACATACATACATACTTGCATACATACATACATACATACATACATACATACATACATACATACATACATACATACATACATACATACATACATACATACATACATACATACATACATACATACATACATACATACATACATACAAGGTCATGTATAATATAATTTGAATATAGAAAAAAAAAAGATAAGTTAATAAAGTTAAGAGATTAAAGTAGTAAAGATAAACAAAAAAATGAACCTAAAAAAATCCACAATTTTGAATTTAGATCATACATTAAGTTAACAAAAATCTAAGACAATAAAAGTTCTGAATATTAAGAAAAAACCGCAACTTTACTAGACTAACGTTAAATCAACTAGAAAAAAATGCCTCAGATTTTTTGATTTCATAAAATCCAGACACTCCTGTAGCTAGTTTAAGCAAACTCATCAGCAGTATTTTTTCACTTTTGACACTAAAGACTTGTCTTTTTCCTAAGAAAGAGAGAAAGAGGGATAGATAAACAGAGGTTGATAGTTTGACAGAGGCATAGTATTTGTAACTTTCTTAAATGTTTTTAGTTATGAACTTCGCTGCATTATTTGGAATACTGAAGATGTGGAGCGCACTGAGTTTAATATTTTATTTGGCCAATATACTGCAGATATTTATGTGAAAGGGTAATTTACATTTTCTTTTTTTTTTTTTTTGTTGCTCTTTTATATTTGCATTAATTTTTATCATAAAAATTTATTTAATAGAAAAAAAATAATTTTTTTTTAAATCTAGTAATACTAAAATGTATATTTAAAAGTGTATAGATGTTTGTCTAGTACTGTCTAGTTTGTCTAGTATTAGTATTTTGTTAAATTCAAGAAAATTATATTTTTCACTTGACTATTTTATTTAGACTATATTCTAACTAAACTGCAGTCGATACACTATTTCAATTTTTTTAAAGTTTTTTAGTTTATGTTTTTCAAGCAAACATGTATTGGTGAACTTTTTTAACTTTTTCAAACAACTAAAACTTTTAATAGAATATTTCTTAATGTAATTTTTATTATTATACTTTATTTATTTATTTTGTACTTTTTATTATTATAGTTATTAAGTTTATTATTAATAAAAAAATAACAATACTTCAAATTTTGTTAATATTGTAGTATTGTTCGATATTTTGCCAATAAATTCAACATTTATAAAAGACACTACATAGTTTGAAAGTTAAAACTTACATATTGCATGCTGTATCAAATTTTCAACTCTAACAAATAAACTTTTCATTTATTTAATAGCTTTAATTATTTTGTGGTTTTCAAGGGATTTCAATTAAAATGTCTTGAATATACTACACTGTAATTGTAAACAAGCTGATTAAAATTAATTAATGTCTAAAAATGTGTTAATAGTTTAACAACAAACTTGTTTTTAAGTTTTATATTCCAAAAAAAAGATGTTAGAAACTTTGAATAAATGCAACTAAGCATTTATATTCCATAAGTTTTATATTCCATAAAAACATTCTATGTAAGAAGTGATTATAATTTGAGAAAATTTACTATTATACATAAATACTTCAATTTTAATTGAATTAAACTTGTACTATATAAAAGTCACAAACAAATTTTAGTATTGTTTACTACTTTTTTGTTTAATGGGGATCATTTTTAATGAAAAATATGCTCTTGAAGCTATTCAAAATTGATCCACAAAATTTGCCTTTTTGAAAATGGAACCAAAGTTTTTGAGAATAAAACCAAAGACTTGGCTTGATGACATCATAGTAATCTTATTATTTGATTAAGATTATTTGAGATAAAAGATGTTAGAAACTTTGAATAAATGCACCTAAGCACCAACTTTGAGAATGTAATTGCAAATTACAATATTCAAAAAATACAATTTCAAATTTGTAAAGTTCAAACTTGATTGCAATTGAATTTTAAAAAATATGAAAAGAATCATTTCAGTTGAAAATATCTCAACTAAAGAAGTTTTAAAATTTAAAATTTTTAACCCAAGATTTTAAAAAAAATCATGTAATAGAGCTGTAAGCTATTTTTTGTAAAAGACTTAAAAGTCTAACCCCAAGATTTTGGGGGTTGTTAAAACCGCAGGATCATGGTATTTTTAGGATTCTGTACTATTGTCTGGTTTTACAATGGTTTTTAAATGCTTTGATCCACAATATAGTTTTATACTTTTATGTGTTTATACTTTTCCCTAAAAATCTCATTGAGTTAAGCATCAAGTTTTCAATAAAAAAATATATTTGCTATAAATTCAACTAACAATTGTTGTTTTATTTTAAAACATTAAATTAAATTTTTAAAACAAAGTAAATGTAATAAGTGAAATAATTTATAACTGTCAGAATAAAAATTTATAACTGTCAGAAAAATTACATTGCTTTTTGAATGACTCTTTCATTTTTTGAAGTCATTGTATAATAATCTCTATTTTATGTGCAGTTTTTTAAAAAGATCCTTAGTGGCTGAGTTAAGTCTTTTGCAAAATATACAAAAGCATTACTGTTTTCTATTGAACAGCTTTTCAATCTTTTGATAAAATGACTAGCTTGGTAACTAATAACAAATTCAAAAAGAAGACACTGTTAGTTAAGACACTTCAGTATAAAAAAAATAGCTGAAAAATCAATTTGAAAATGTCACCTTGTTAATCCAAACAGATTTTAATTTTTTTTTCGGACATAATTTTAAAGAATAAAGATTCTAAAAGTAATCAGAGATAAAAAAAATAATAATATTCTCTACTGTCAAATCACAAATCATTATAAATATATTTATTTCTTGGTATTTTTAGGTTTTATTCATTTAAATTTTTATATTAGTGGATATTCATATATGTATTTAGTTATTTTTTTAATTTTATATTTTAGTAGAATTAATAATTTTTATTGAGTAATATTTAAGTTATTTATAAACATTAATTTTTACATTGTTATACTTGTTATATTTTATAAAGTTTGAATATTTTTGGACATGTTTTAATAATGCGATTTCCTCAAGAGTTTATATAATTATTTCAATCTGATGCCCTTTATGGTGTTAAACTTAAATTTTTTTAAACTTTAGTTGGATTGAAGGTTTGCAGAAGAGTAGTCAATCAACAGATGTCCACTATGCTAGTTTGACAGGAGAAGGAAATTTTAACTGGAGATTTATTTTTCCATTTAAGTTCTATAAAGCTGAAGAAAAAATTGCTATTATTAAAAAGGTTTGAATCAATTTCATTGGTCATTGCAATTTTGTTATTCTTAAAGACTTTCAAAAATTAAACAAGAATTACGTTAATTTGTTTTTTACAAATTTGCAGGCTTCTTTGTTTTCATGGGTTGATTGTGAAGAAAAAGTTTTACCCAGATTAATTTTACAGTGTTGGGATTCAGATATTGTGTTCAAAGACGATCATATTGGTGATTATATTTTTACTGATTATATTTTTACTTGTTTAATCTTTTATTATTTATTTATTTCTACTAAATTTATCATTTAATAATCTTTTTATTTTTATCATTAATGTTTTTTGTCTAATGACTATTCTTTCTTAATTTTTTTTTAATTTTTTAATTTCTAGTTTGTTTGTTTTTGCTTATTTTAATATGTTGTTTTCTGCTATGTAACCAGTTGGATTATAGGTGCACAGAATCATTCTATAGAAAATGTTTAGGACCCCAAAAATTATTAAAATTAAAGTTAAGTTTTTGAAAAACTATTGAAAATAAAAAATAATCTTTTTGTTCAAATTTTCTTTGCATAACAAAAACTTGACTTTCTGAAAGTTTAACTCTTTTTTATTTAAAAAATTATTTTTAAAAACTTAAAATAATTTTTAACTAAAATTATTTTAAGTTTTTGTTTCTGATTATTGGCTAATTGTTTGTTTGTATTATTTATATTTTTTTTTTTTTAACTGTTTTTTTTTGGGGGGGGATTTTAAATTTAAGTTTTAATTTTTTTATTTTTAATGTTTAAATAGTTTTTTTAAATTTTTTTAAGGTGATCTCACATTAAACCTTACTAGCATACCTCGCCCATCCAAAACATCAATGTTGTGTGATGCAAAAATAATGGAAAATGAAGACACAAAATCAATTTTTCGGAAAAAAAAAATGAAAGGTCAGTTTATAACAAAAGTAAAAAAAAAAAAAAAGGATTTAAGTGTTGAACAAATTTTAAATGTATTAAAAAAGGTCCAGATAATTTTTATAGCTACATTCATTACTTTATCACACCCTTTTATACAACCATAACACTCTTTAGTACAAATTTATAAAATTTCAGTTCTTATTTTTAGCAAATAAGCATTTAAACAAAAAAACAAAATTTTATATGTATATTTTTATAAATTATCATTCACATTCATTATTAATATTATTTTTATTATTGTTATTTATTAATATTATTTTTAATGTGATTTGGGTTAATTATGTGATTATGTAATTAATTAACTTTATTGTTACATAACTGTCAAATTTTAGGAGTACCATCACTGCCAAATTTTAGGAGCATCATTGTTCAAATTTTATAAACCATTAATGTTCAAATTTTAAGAACATTTTTACTCAACTTTTAAAAGCATCATTGTTCAAATTTTAAGAGCACCATTGTTTAAATTTTAAGATAATCATTGTTCAAATTTTAAGAGTATTATTTTTCAAATTTAAGGAGCATCACTGTTTAAATTCGCTTTGGTAAGAGAATAGTTAAAACTATATATGATTTAAAAAAAATAGAAAGTAGTGAAAATTTATTGAAAGTTAAAATTAAATAAATAAAAATATTAATTGAAGTTTAGAGTAAAATTAGTTACTTTAATAGTAATTTTGGATAAATAATAGTTTTATTAATAGTTTATAAATATTATTTCATGCTCTTTTTTGTTTACATTAAAAAAATATTTTTTTTTTGAAATATCAGTCTAGGGATTATTTTTTATTTTAAAACCAAAAAATCCACAAATAAGGGTTGAACGCACAGCCATGTTATAATTGCTGTTTCAACCAACCATTCAAAGGGAAACCAACCATTATTCATTCTGTCACTCAAAATTACTAATTAATTACTAATTAATAATTAGTTACCCCTTTTAAGTTTGTTTCCCAGAGAAATCAGAGGGCTAACATTGATCATATTTATTTATCAAAACTTTATTTTTATTATAATCTACTTATCATTATTTATATGTCTTGATTTATCAAAGACTTAACCAGACTTTATCAAAGACTTAACCAGTTGCATAACCAGACTCCAGTCACACTTGATCTTCTGTCACAACAGTCACCAATCAAAATCCATGCAAATATTTTTATATAAACATTATGGAGGTAATACATAATATTTGAGATTTTCCTGTATCTAAAATCACTATAAGATAATATTTTAATATCCAAATATTTTATTTTGGTTTATTGCTGTGACTGACTATATACCAAAATAAAATAAACCTATGACCTATAACTTTCTTGAATCTTATGCAACTTTTTTCTGGACTGTTTGGATGTTTTATAAAATCTCTGAAACTTTCTAGAATTTACTGGAGTCTTCTAGAAGTTTCTGGAAATGAGCAGTATTTAGACTAAATAAGCTGCCTGATTGAGCAATGCTAATAATTATATATGAACTTATATTTGGCACTCAAATAATATCGAAGTACAATAATACTTATATTACTTATTATTATTGACTTTCGGAAATATATATAAGTATTATCTCCAATCATAATGTCCTATAAGACAAATGCTTCTTTTACTAAAAGAAAAAAGACAATCTAGATGAAGAATCTTGTACAATTTTATGTCACATAGGAAAAAAAGAACTTTTCCACAAGAAGAAAAATCACTGGAAGATTACAGCAGGATATCACTAAAAATCCAATTGTTAGTTGCTATCTACTCCTAGGAAAATCCATTAAAGGGATACAAAAATACATAAAGCAAATTGAGAAAGAAGTAACAAGTTTATGGCAAAAGAAATTAAATTTTCCATATAAATTATAATCAAGAAATTCGAGCTCAAGATCTAGAGCTAATGGTATGTTTTGAATAATTCCTCATTATACTGATGAAGTTACACTTTAAAATTATTACTATGCATTATTCTTATCTCATCTTAGCTAAAGTTCTCAAGTTTTGGGGTCAGGCTGAAAACTATTGTATCAACAAGTTGTTACCGTCTCAGCATTGATCCATTAGATTAATAAACTTTCAACCTCAATAAATTTTCAACATCTGGCATTAAATTAGATAAATCAGAGTTATGAAAAAAACATAAAAATTTCAAGATTTCCAGCGTTAGTAAAGTATGCTTATCTTCTTTTTTTTTTTTTTTTTGATTCCTTAAATAAAAATTGACCATTTTCCATTACAAACTTGTTCATAGAAATTAGATTAGTACAATAATACTCTACTAGAAATATATTCAATCAAAAACTAAATATACCATCTTTTAAACATTCTATTGTTTATCAGTGCTTCTGTGAATGGAACAGGAGCCTTGTATGCATTTTAAATGAGTCCAAAAAACTACATCCTAAAATACCTTTCTCCATCTTAAACAAAAACAATTTTAAAAATTTCTGAAAAACATTTTATTCTAACTTTTAGACATTATTATTCTTACTATTAAATCTTAATTTTCTTTTTGTTATTACTACAATTATCATTAGTACTTTTTGTTTGTTACTTTCTTTTTTTTTTATTAATATAATCTGTAAATTATGATTTCTACCTGTTTGTTTTTTTTAATGTATTTTCTATGTGCTTTAACGGTCCATATGTTTCAATGTATGTCTTTGCTTATGGACCATATTTTACAATGTATGTCTTTGCTTATTTTTACTTATAATATATTCAAAAATTTTTATTATTATTAATACTATTGGAAAAATGATTTACAGAAAATAAATTTTTGTTATTGTTGCAATAAAATTAATACTGCACAATATGTTTTCTATATATTTTTCTTACTTGTGAAATTGTTATTTAAGTTTATAATTTTATATTTATTTGTAATTTAGATGTTATGATTTAACAATAAACTTTTAAATGCTTAAAAACAATATAATAACTCTCTAATTAGGAAAATTAGGATTAAAAAATAATGATCATCAAATTATTTGAAATTCTATTCATTCGCATATATGGTAAATTTGCGTTTTTGGTTTGTGGGACTCTTTTTAACAAGAAAATTAAATTGATGTTTTTTCATTACATTTGTACAAATATTTATCTTATATATATATATATATATATATATATATATATATATATATATATATATATATATATATATATATATATATATATATATATATATATATATATATATATATATATATATATATATATATATATAATATATATATAATATATATATATATAGAATATATATAATATATATAATAATAATAATAAAAGCAAGTATCCCAAATATACTTTTCAAATCAATAAATAATATTACTATTTACCTGATACAATCATGAAAACTATTCCATTCAAAAAAAATTTTTGGCTATTGTGGAGGATTTCACATCCTCATGATATGAATTATTTGTTTGAGTATGCTGCCTGCTTCTTGATCCTCATGTTTTAGTTCTTGATTAACATTAAAATCAATAAACTTTTATTGTTGGTTTTTATTCACTTTATTCCTTGTTTTTGTTTTTGTACCTCCATAAGGCCTGTTTTAATTATTCAGCAATAGTATTGCATGTTTCTACTATTGCAAGTCTGAACTATTGCAGTAGCACAGATTTATTTTAAGTATGCAGTAATAGTACTGTATGGTTGTATTAATGTGATGTGATAACGGATCCATGATGATTTAAACAACAACCAGTATAACATGATGTGATAACCAATCCATGATGATTAAAACAACAACCATTATAACCAGTATAACATGATAAAAAATGTAAATGATAATTTAAACAACAACCATTATAACATGATACGATAGCTAATCCGTGATGTTTTAACTAGCAATTAGTATAACATGTGATAACCAATCCATGTAAAACTGAATGCAACTAGAAGAAGAAAATAAAAAAAAACCTAATAATACAATGAAACATTGACATTGGCTTTAAAACCAATTTCTTGAATGTTGTTTAAAATATTTTTAAATATATAGCATAACCAAATAAAATATGAATTTGGTGAGTAAAATTGATTTGAGATGAGATTGAATTGATATGAGATGCAATGAAAAAAAATTAATAGATAAAGAAAATATTAAAGATTTAAAGCCTAAAAGCTTAAAAATTTAAAAAAAATTTCACTTTTTCTGGGACTGTTTAAAAAAACACACACATAACTTGCACCATTTATGAAAGAAATAGTCCTGAATGAGTAAAAAATAAGAAAATAAGGCTTAAAATAAAGGTTTCAGGTTAACAGATAAAGCAAGTTATAACGGAGCAAGTAAGTTAAGGCGGGGCAAGTAAGTTAAGACGAACCAAATGAATTAAGATGGAAGTTTTAAGGTTTAGAGGTGTTAAAAAAAAAGAAACAGAAAATCAGTCTGAGTGTCAGGATAAAATTGATGAGTTTCATAATAATTGTAAAACAAAATAAATAAATCTCAAATGGAATTTAAATCATATTTTGAACAAGGTTTAATGGCAACTTGGCCTAAGACAATCAAATCAGTTTTTACAAAATGGATTTAAACTGTTTAGTTAAGTTATTTTTAAAAATTACTACAAAATTCTTGCTGGTCCCTCTTTTGCAATGGAAAATAAGCAACTTGTTTTGTTTAACTGTGCATATGAGACCATCGATTGTTTTTAGAACAACTGATACTATTAAGTTGTTGGCATCTGGAATAGAAACTAGTTTCAATTGTTACTCAGGGAGTTTTTAACTTGATTCTGTTGTGTGCTGTGACAGTTTGAAGAGAACTGAATTCTAAAAATTCTGAAAGTGAAGCAATTAAAAATGAAATTTAATCTACATTAATAATTAAAATATATAGCCTTTAACTTTTTAATATATATTGTTAATTAAACATGGTGTTACTATTATCTTCTCTATCTGAGGTATTTTATCTTGAGTAATAATAGAATAACCTTGATTGAATAGTTAAATAACATTTGCATAGAAATGTTCATTTAATTAAGCATAATTAAGTTCAAAATTTAATTAAGTATAATTAAGTTCAAAAGATTGAACCTTTTGAAGCCATCTTTATTGGTTATATCTTTTTATATCTGAAAAGTTAAATAGTATATTTTTAAATGAGTTACTTAGGGGTAACAAAATAAAAAAGTTGAGTTTTTAGTTTTTTTAAATGCTTTACTTGAATTGCATTTTATTTTCACCAATTTGAACCAATTTAGTTTCATCAATTTTTATTACTAATTTTGTAAACTAATTTTTATTCACCAATTTAAACTAGTTTATTTTCACCAATTTGAACCAGTTAAGCTGCCTCTGCCGAAATAAAAGTTTAACTTTTTTTTGAGGCCATTTAACCAATTGTCCTTATACCCTGATGTCTGGCAATTGATGTTTTTTCCCATTTGATTTTTAATTCTAGATTACCCATACCAATAACATTCTGCTAAAAAAGGATGTATGTACTATTATGTATATACAATTATGACAATGTCATAAAATGTTTGTATATAAATGGCTTTAATACAATTTTCTAAGCAATTTGACCCGTACATGACACGAACTAACCTCATATATAATTTTTTTATTATTATTATCCAAAGAATAAAGAATTGAATTTCCAATAATCATAGTGGCAACTATAGAAGTAAAATGGTTTATTGGTAAATCAGCTAAATCATTTCTCAAAGTTTCATTATTGCTGTTACATGATTGAGAATCACCTTCACTTTCTGAGTTACTCTGAGTAACTCAGAATAGTACAAGGAAGTACTAACCTAGTACTGTTCTGAGTTACTACCTAGTAAATTCAGGTTATGAATTCATATAAATAATCAACTCTTTATCCTCATTATGGTTTCAACAATTCTCAATGTCAATATTGAGATAAAGAGCGTAGTATCTCAACATTCAACATATTTAAATAGACTCATAACATTTAAATAGACCCATAACTAACATTTAACACATTCAAATAGACTCATAATTTCTTCAGCATTCAAAAACTATTTTCCTTAACACATTTTGATATTTTCTTAGCATTCTGAAGTCATTTTTTTCTGTCACAAATATTTAACAAACCTGAAAAAAACAATTTGATAATAAAAAAGAGCTGTTAAGCAAAGACTTTTCAAAACTGTGTGTAAAATGAAAACTCAAATCCAACTAGGATAGTTTTACTTTTTCCTACTTGGATTTGAGATTGCAACTTATGCTTCAAATAAATGTTTTAAACTAGGCTAGACACAACAGAATCCACATTGATTATAGTAAACTATTTATTGTGGTAGCTATATATTTATAACATTTAGCCACTATATACATATTTTGAGGAAATATTTAGGTTTACCTTACCTTGATGACCACACCATTTTTGTGATTTCCCCTAGTTATACTCCTTACCAAAAAAAAATTTTCTTTCTAAAAAGTAAAACTTCTTTTTGACACCTAATTTGAATATATTTAAGTTTCACCCAAAAATAATTACTTTTCACTTTATATTTCTTTTATAACTTCTAAATGTTTACGAATATGTAATCTATTATTGGTTAATTTGATTATATATTCATTGAAACACATCTAATTGATTATATTAGATAAATTAAGCATCAAAAGATTTAAAGCATATATATATATATATATATATATATATATATATATATATATATATATATATATATATATATATATATATATATATATATATATATATATTATATATATATATATATATATATATATATATATATATATATTGACTTATATTTGTCAATTTTGCAAACTTTTAATCAACATTTAACAAACAATTAAAGGTTATTAAAGGCATTAAAAGATTTAAAATGTAGATCTCAAATTGGCCGTCTGTTTTAGGTCAATAATTGGTTGCAAATTGCTTAACATTAAATCTACTTTTCGATCAAGTTTGACAAAATCTTGACGAGCTCTGGTTAGTTTTGTGTTTACCGGGTGTTTAATTGAACATAATCATTGTGAATAAGTGTGTCGTTGCGAAATGGCATCACTTCTACCTTCTTTTTTTTTAGGTTTCACATTTTACAATTTATAACAACAATTTTATGTGGTTTATTTCATACTGTTTTGCAGTAAATTCATTTTTTTAAATTCATTTTTTAAAAAAAATTAAAAAAAAATGAATTAAAAAAAAAAAAAATTTAAATATTTTAAATTCATTTTTTGTTACGTCAGATAAACCATGATCATTATAAACTCGATTTAAATTTTGTTAAGGTCTTGTAAGTTTTGAATGTACAATAGCAAAGTTGCTTTTTACTAAAGATTTAGCAAAGTTTTAGAGCTGGCTTGTAATCGTCTTTTTAAAAAAAGTTAATAACACCTATAGGTTGGTGGCCATTCATTTCGAATGAAGAATACGAATCAAAAATTGTCGGCAAAGTTGAAGTTCAGTTAGAATTACTAAACGAGGATGAAGCTTTGGCTGAACCTGCAGGATTAGGGCGCAATGAACCAAACTCTCTACCTTTACCAAAGTATGTAATATCGTAAACTAAAAGTATTTTACTAAGTAATTAAATTTTTTAATTTGATTTAAAAGTAAAGTTTAAAAAAAGTCTCGAAAGAGCAACTTAGTTGAAAAAAAATATATAGAAATACAACCTAACGTTTTTGTTTAGTCGACCTGATGTAACAACCCAATGGTTAAAGACTCCTCTAAAAGCTATAAAGTATTTTTTCTGTGGGCAGTACAAGATTTTCATTGGGAAAATTGTCATCATTACTGTTATATTAGTAATTATGGCGCTTTTTTTATATGCCATCCCAGTAAGAGTATTACTGTTAAATTTTTTTTTAATTTTTATTTTTTTGTCAATATATTTTAAAATAAAATTAAGCATTAAAATTTTTAATGCTTGTCGGTTTAAATTTTTTTACAAACGCGTTTAATGATCCTAATGATTTTTTGTTACTTTGATCAGGATGCCGTAGTTGGTAAATTGTTTAGCAAATATGGAAACAAATAATAATTAATGCAAGAATGATTTTAACACCAGCAAAAATACTGGAAAATAATAATGGCATACTGGAAACTAAATACTACATGTTATAATCTTAAAGAACTTTAAAATTCAACTGTAAATTCAACTTCATTTTTTTGATTCTCTCAAAGGCTTGGTTAAACTACCAGTAGTGGCATGAGTAAGAAAAGTATATTTTTAAAATACAGAATAATAAAATTTACAAATGATGTTAAGCCTTATACGAAATGATGTTAAGCATTGTACGGAAAGAAGTGTTTCCAACTTTGAGTTTCCGACTGAAAAATTTATTATTACTGAGTTAAAACTTAAAAACATGTTATTACTTGATAATATATAAAAGGATTATTTAGTTTAACAGAATATACATCCCAGTATTGTAGAGAAGACGGTTCATCTACCTGTAATTAGTAAAATTAATAATGCAAGTTTTATATAGAAATCTGTAGTGTATTATATTAATTATGTAAATATTATATTATAATCATAATAAATATGAACTATTTTAATTGTATGTTTATTTCTTTGTTACATTGATCACGAACTATTATCATTACTTTTATTCAGCATTTTATTTTATATTAATATCAAAAATAAATAATGCTTTTGCTAATTATTTTTACAACAATAAAATAGTACCATGGGCTATTCCACTCATATTCATGGAAGTAGAACTTATTTTGGGTCAAAAGTCACACTATTTTTGTTTTGAACATTTAGAATATGTTAACAAAATTTATAAATTGTTGCTTTATATGTATATATATATATATATATATATATATATATATATATATATATATATATATATATATATATACATATATATATATATATTTATATATATATTTATATATATATATATATATATATATATATATATATATATATATATATATATATATATATATATATATATATATATATATATATTGATTTTATTAAGGTTGGTGGCCGTTTATTAAAATTGGTAAGGTAGTTGGAAAAGTTGAAATGGAATTAACTTTGTTGACGGAACAAGAGTCAACGGATGATCCTGCTGGCTTAGGAAGAGAAGAACCAAGTGGACTTTTGTTTCCAAAGTAAGTGTAAACACGTTGGCAGATTTAACAAGACGTTTGGTGTGTAATCTACTGAGCTTGTAGTTTAGTTGGTTGACCCACCTAGCTCTATCGCAAGTTTATGTAACTAATTGTGAAGTAATTATAAATATGAGTGAAAATATTATAATATGCAGTTACACCATTTAAGAAAAAGTGTAACTGGCTATATATATTTTTCCTAAAACAAACCCAACAGAGTATAACTTTTAGGTTTGTTTTAATTTATCAGACCTTAGTTGCAAAGCTAAATATAATTTTAGACGTTAGGTTTATTCTTAGCAACATTACAGAACTTTGTGTTCAAAAACAATGACATCAGTTTAAATATTAAAAAAAAGGAGAAAAAAAGCAATAGAATGAAAAAGAAGTTCAGCTGTCAACAACAGCTGGACAAAAAGAAAAGTTTTGGTAAACAGTCATAAGAATTATTTACCAAAATCGTATTTTTTTTTAATGACGTTTTTTTTTTATTTACTTTAAATGTTGAAACGATATAAATATGTTTATCTATACGCATTTTTATATATTATAACATTTATATATCATCACAAATAATTAATAATCATAACATAGCCGTTCTAGTTTATTATGTAGCGTTATTTATTTAATTTAAAAATTGGTATGCGGAAGAAATATAGTGAAAGTTGATTTATCTTTGAAGCGATAAAATACTCTGTTATGGTTAGATGTCTTAGGCTTGCATAAACGATTCACATATTTATAGGCGGATTTAGATTTTAACTTATTATATGAAATTGAATTTAAAAGTTTAAAATTGTAATAATGAAATTATTTATTTTTGTATTTGTTTCTATTCGAAACAAATACATTTTTTAATTCTATTTATAATTACACATATTAGACAAATATTATACAGTTAGACAAAAAATATTTATTCACAATTACATTACGGTATTTAATGTATATAATTAGTATACTCCAGTACACGGTCATTAATACTAATGGCCTCTAATACTAAAAAGTACATGGTCGCGAGAATCAGACCTGCCATTGTGTAATTTAAAAGTTTAAAATTATATATTTTTGAAATAAATTAAAATCAATTTAGAAAAATATCTTTTTTATAGCCGTCCGGATTTAATGATGAACTGGCTTATTTTACCGATAAGAACTTTAAGATACGCGTTATGGGACTCGTACAAGTTCAAGATTGCCAAAGCGGTTTTCATGTTCATTTTGCTTGCTGTCTTGAGCTTGTTTTTGTATTATATGCCGGTAAAGTTGAATGCATTTTACGTTTGTTTTTTTTTTGTTTTTTATAATTTTTTTTAAAAGTATATTATAATGTTTTGAAAAAAATATTTTTTAAATAATTATTTTTTAACATTTTATTAAAAGAAAAAAAATAATCACAACGATTTTTTTTTTTAGAGTTCGATTGTAAAGAAAATTGTTGGGTAAACATGGTGTTTAAATGCGGGTGTCAGCTGAAAAATTTCATTTTGAGCTCAGTTAAATGCAGATTTTTAGCATAATTCTATAACGAATAAAAGATGACTTAAGCTAAATAAGTCATCTTGCTATTCGTTGAGTTAAAGGTCTATTTGATCAATGTTTTAAAATATTACAAATAGCTCAATTTGTTGTTCGAATAACGTAATATTATTTTAAGCGTGTTAAAAGTATAGATTATTTAGAAAAGCAATAATGGTGTTTTTTGTTTGTATTTTTACAACATTTTTTTTAACTTGCTTTCTTGTCGGATTGTTTTTTTTTTTTTTGTTTTTTTTTGGTGTCCGCACAAAACAACACGAGGTCAGTGGTAACAATAAAAGAAATCGTAAAAAAAAGTAATTACCGGGTTTTGCATCTATTTAAAACAACCATGGCATTCATTTAAAACGTCTTGACAATCGATTAAAAGAATCGTGATTTTCAATGAAAACATTTATCGCATGTGCAATCTCATCATTCTATATTAATCAAAGAAAAGTTTTTTTTATATATTTATTTATTTAATGTTATATAAATTTATTTTTTATTAATACTATATTAGTTTATTTTAATTTAATGGAATTTATTTTAATTTTAAATGGATGCCATATTTGTTTTAATTAGATGCAAAACCCATAAGGCGTACACACACGTGTAGGGAAAAGCGTGGCAACATGGCGAATGGGGCAAGTAGGTTTTTATATAAAAACTTAACAAAAAACCTTAAAGTTGGGTGAAAACAAAACTGTATTTGCATCTTGTATTTTAAAACACCAATTGGTTTTATTTAAATATTATTAGCGCAATTTTATATGCATAAGTTTACTTTTTGCACTTAATAAAAAATTGCTCAGTTTCGGTTTTTCATAATGGATGGTGTCCTTCAAGTTTAACTTCTTTAGAAGTAGTTTTTTGCGACTTGTGTTTATTTTGTGTTACTTTAGTTAGAGTTATTGGTAGTTTTTAAAATTTTATAAAATTGAAGGCAAAAATTGCATAATAAGTCATCTTGCCCCGGTCACGTGACCAGATGACAAATTTATGAACTTTTTAATTTAATACATATTTCAAATTGTTGCATTTGCAAACTGAAAATCCATGCAGGCAATGAATCAATTTAGTAACATTAACATGCTGAGAAAGTATTATTGCTTCACGACTGATAGTTTTGCAATAACTCAGGGCTTTCGAAACGTTCGCCATGTTGCCCCGTTTTCCCCTATACATATTTTTTATACATTTAATGTATTGGTAAAAAACGTTTGATTAAAACATTCATGATGATAATTAAAACCAACCAATCCTTTTCAGAATATTTAGCGCATGTGCATATTAGATTTTCATTAAAACATGCAGGGAAATTTTGTTTCCCAAAATGTGCGAAAATTTGTTGTGAGACTGGTCGTTGATTAAAGAAAAATTCAATCTGAAACTTTATTGCCGTGAAAAACTCAATCTGAAGCTTTATGCCGCAAAATTCCGTTTCCAATAATATGCGAGATCTTGTTGTAAATCTAATCGTTGATCAAGGGAAAACTCAATATGAAGCTTCATCTATAACAGGAGTTAATCGAAACACGGTACAGTCAATTTTAAGAAAGTACGATCGAACGAATTCAACACTTCCTGGTTCTAGAGGTGGCGCTCGTCACGTTATTTATAATGAAGAGATTAGAAGAAGAATTAAAGATCTTGTAAACGATAATACAACAACAACTATAGTTGTTGCTGTATTTTAATTAAATATGCTTTAAATGTAAGTGCATCGATTACAACTGTCTGGAGATGGGTGACCAATTTTGGATGTACATATAAAATTACTCAACCTATTTGTGAAAGGAGAAATGACAAATGATGTAAAAAATCTTTGAATTGAGTATATTAGGTGGTATACTTTAGTCTCATCTATTCATTGCTATCGAAAAATTGTTTTTATTGACGAAAATCCATTTAGTTTACACATGTTTCGCAGCCATTCATGGGCAAGAAGAGGAGTAACATCAAACCCGATAATTCGCCCTAGGCAGCGTAACGTTGCGATGATATTGGCCGTCAATGGTTTAAATATTATTTTTTTCGAAGCTGTCAATGTGTCAGTCAACACAGTTTTGTTTCAAGAATATAATGATGAAGTTGTACGAGTTTCGGGGACAGTGGAAGAATTCACCCTGGTGATGAATAATGTCAGAATCCATCATAATGTTGAGATGAGGGCTCAGAACATTGAAATAAAATATTTGTCACCATATTCACCATTCTTGAATCCGTGTAAGAAGATTTTCTTTTTTCTTAAGAATAACTTGCAAAGAAATACGGTCCCAGTCGGAAGAAATGAACTAATTGCAAGAATGCGTGAGGCATGCTTATCTATTCCTAATGTTAATTTATCGAACTATTAAACACACTGCAAAAGCTTTTTTGAAGTGTGTCTTAGGTCAGATAACATACCTCGGCAGTAATTGGAAAATAAACATTAAATTTATAATCAAACAAATTTTTAAATAATTTAAAAAAATTGAATAAATATTGAGATTGCGCATGCGTTAAATGTTTTAATTGAAAATCACGATTGTTTTAATTGATTGTCACGATGTTTTAAATGAATGTCACCTTTGTTTTAAATGGATGCAAAACCCGGTAAAACAAACAACGCAAAACTTACTTTGGTTTAGCGTAAATAAATTTTCTTAGCAGACTGAAAGAAAAAATAATAAAAAAAAAAATATAGAAAAAAACTTTTTTAAAAGCAACATTTTAAAAGTGGACTAAAAAGTAAAAAAGAAATTATTTCATGGGACCAAAGGACTTTGTGTATGTACACAACCTGAAATATCTATTAAAGTCGATGACTAAAAACGCCTTTACAATCTTTGACATAAATTTTGGCAGCACAATCAAATTTTTAGGTAACATGCAAAACCATTATTTATTTATTTTTTTTTTTTGCAAGAATGATCTTAACTCTGCATAAATAAAGTGAAACATAAGAAAATTGTCATATTATATAACTTATATAAAAAATAGTTTAGTAATTGAAATAATAAAAAGAAAAGGTGTGAATCACCAATCAAGATATAGAAAAAAGAATTGTGCTACTTAAAGCTTTAGTTTTGCTATTTTTATCTTTGCCATGTTGACAGTCAAAAGTACTATTTGATGAAACAATAAATGGTATTCCTATTCAAGAAACATCTTTGTCTTCAAAAATAACTCTGCAATTTTTCTGCAAAACTTCTGAAAAAGCAGATTTTTATATACATAGTTAATGTAAACTGTAACAAATTACATACTTACATTAATTTTTCCAACATTTAAATAAATTACATACTTACATTAATTTTTTCAACATTTAAATAAATTACATACTTACATTAATTTTTCCAACATTTAAATAAATTTCATAAGAGCTACAATTTTCCCCAATATATATATTTAATAAATAACGCATAACAAAAACAACAAAGGTCAAGGTTTTAACATTTACACAAAGAATTATCCATAGCAATTACACTGC